TGCCCGGGTTGCTGGCTCAATCCCCAGTAGGGGGCATGCAGGAGACAGCAATCAATGATTCTCTTCCATCATTGATGTTTTTCTCTCTCTCTCTTTATCTCTCTCCCTTCCTCTCTGAAATCAATAAAAACATATATTTTTTTAAAATTCTGGGGGGCAATGGTAAGATATGTACACATATAATACCTTAATAAGAAGAAATAAATAAATGCTTGCTAAAAATACAGGGGGGAAATAAATACATAAATAAATTCTGTAACTCTAGAGGCCTGGTGGAGGAATTCATGCACAGGTGGGGCCCGGCTGGCCTGCCCCATTGGGGCTTTTTGGAGCTGGGCCAGCTCGGGGAGGGGCTGGGGGCGGTCGGCTGAGTGGCTCCGCCCCTGATCGGGGTACAAGTTGGCTGATTGGGGGCCTCAATGAGTGTCAAAGCAACCGGTCATTCCAGTCATTCTGGCATTCCAGTCGCTTGGCTTTTATACATATAGATGCTAGAATATGGATGAACCTTGAAAACTCATGGCAAGTGAAATAAGCCAGTCACAAAAGGACAAATATTGTACGATTCCACCTACATGAGGTATAGAATAGCTAAGTCAGAGACAGAAAGTAGATTAGAGGTTTCAAGAGGCCGGGGTAAGAAAAGAATGGGGAGTTATTGCTTAAGGGGTGCAGTTTCTGTTTGAGATGATGAAAAGGTTTAGAAATAGTGGTGATGATTGTGTAACATTGTGAATATACTTAATGCCCCTGAGAAATGGTTAACGGCAAATTTTATGTTCATCTATTTTGCCACAATAGGGACAAATACAAAAAAGGATTTGTGGCACAGAAGAACACTCCTGTCCTCGCCAGAAGGATAGAGGGCCAGAATCTGAATCCAGAGGAGATTAAGGCATTCCGGGCCTATACTCTTACTACTGTTTTTGAGCAGGAAATTTATAAAACCTAAAGGGTATCAGAAAGCACAGAGTGAGGCGTGGCCAGGGAGCTCAGCTGGTTAGAGCGTTGTCCTGAGAGCCAAGGCTGCGGGTTTGATCCTCGGTCAGGGTGCAGGCAAGGATTAACCAATGATGCACAAATAACTGATGCCTCTCTGTCTCTCTCCGTCTAAAGTCAATAAAATAAAAACGAGAACCACCACCTGTTCTCATGGTCCCTTCTAACGCTAGCACTCACCTGGGATACATCAGTTACGGGACCTCGAGGAAAACACCTCACTTTTATCAGTCTCAGGTGTTTTCAATTATAAACTCACCCTTCCTCCTCCTTCCCAGGGCTGTCAGAAGACCAGATAAGATAAGCCAGGCAGCTGGCATCTGAACCAGGTTAACCCTGAACGAGCTTAACCGGTTAGAGCTCCGGGGAAACAGGTGCACTCTGCACGCCCCCTCCCCTTCCTTTTCTGCACAGCACCACCTCCGTCTACCACGACACGTCTGCTTGACTGCCCTCTCGCCAGCTGCACGGAGGCTTGCTGGGGCAGCGACTTCTGACTGCTTTGTTCTCTCACTGCCAGACCCCCAGTGCCAGAATGACTGGCGCACAGTAGGTGTTCAGTATACATCTGGGGAAGAAATGAGTTGCCAGCTCCAATAATCCATTTCGAACCAAATCAAACACTTTACCACCTGCTACTGATCTACCACTGATACCACAGCCTGGTGACTGAAAAGCCAACAATATGTTCCAATGTCCCCTTCCATGCAGGAAAAGGACTAGATATGGGAGTGGGTGGTGGGAAGGAATGAAGAGCTTCCGGAGAGAGAAGGCACACCGGGAAAGGAAAAGCTTCCAGTGGTGCCAAGAAAGTGACTTTGCAATAACTTTCTGTTGTTGTTTAAAGTATTGCATGTCTCCTTTTTCCCGATTGACCCCCACCACTCCACCCCCGTGGGCAAGCCCCCACCGCCCCAGTGTCTGCGTCCACTGCACATAACTCTTTTTTTTTTTATTAAGATATTATATGTGTACATACCCCATTGCACACAACTCTTGTTGCTTGAAAATAATGCAAGGAAACTACAAAGGCAATGACCTCTCAATTCCAAGAGAAAGCCATGTGATTTCCGAATGCAACTTTTTCAGAAATGAGCTTGCAACCAAGAGCTTTCTGAAGCCAGAACTGTGGAGAGTAAACCCAATTAAAGCAGCCATTAGTATGCCAACCATGAAAACACAGGAGAAAAGGGAAAAATTCCTAGAAACACACAATGTATTGAAACTGACTCATAAAGAAATAAAAATGCTAACAGACCTTGAAGAACACAGGCTCGAACCACACGGTCACTTACACTCAGACTTCTTTCAATAAATACACAGGCAGCTCCCGGCACCCCCGGTTTCCCACCCTCAATTCAAACCCTGGATTAAAAACAGTATTCTGACCCAAAGTTGAGAAGCCAGGTGTGCAGAGGGCTGGCTTAAGATCCACACAGATTTGTTACAGGGGCGGGGAGGAGCTGGGCATCCCCAATCATTGTTCAAGGGTTAACTGTACATACGACAGAATAGTGTTCAGCCTGAAAAGGGAATGAAATTCTGTCACATGGCACAACGCAAAAGAACCATGAAGATGTTATGCTGAGAGAAATAAGTCAGTTAGAAAAGGACAAATGCTATATAACCTATATATACAAAAGGCTAACATGCAAATAAACCGGAACAACCCATCGGGGTCGCTATGATGTGCACTGACCCCAGGGGGCACGTGCGGAACATGGCGGGCATTGGACGTGTCAGGATGGTAAAGCAGGTGGGCAGGGGGCACCAGACCAAGGCATGGCGCTGGTTGCTATGATCCAGGCAAGTCTCTGGTGGTTACTGAAAATTCTTTGCTCCCTCGAACCATAGTCCTGCGGTGCTCACACCTGCTGCTGGTGCCAGCCCCACTCACACCCGCTGCTGGCACCCAGCAGCGCCATCAGTGGGTGTGAGAGGCAGCTGCCAGATCACCCCTCAGGGCTGCTCACCTCGCCCTGCTCCCCAGGGACGATCCAGGCAGCAGTTGCCACCGGAAACGGCTGACGGCTGGCGGCCCCAATAGATCCCCAATCGATTTGCGCCCTCAGCACTGCATCGGCAGCGGAGCAGGCTGCCCTGAGACAGGGGCCTGGGGTCTGGGCAGGAGGGGCCAAGACCCGCCCCTGTGCCCATTGCAGCCTCGTGTTCCCCTAGTTCTACTAATCTGAGAGAGCTAAAGGAGTCAATTCAATCACGGAAAGCAGAAGGCTGGTTGCCAGGGGCTGGGATAAGAGGGGGATGGGGTTTGATTCTGATATTTAAAAGGTACAGTTTCCATTTGGATGATAAAAATTTTCCGAACACAGTGGTACAGTTACCTACCATTGTGAATGTACTTAACACCACTGAATTGTACATTCTAAATATCGATAGTAAGTTTTATTGTGTGTATTCTCACAAAAAAAAAAAGACAGGCTGCCGAAACCGGTTTGGCTCAGTGGTAGAGCGTCGGTCTGCGGACTGAAAGGTCCCAGGTCCGATTCCGGTCAAGGGCATGTACATTGGTTTCGGGCACATCCCCAGTGGGGGGTGTGCAGGGGGCAGCTGGTCGATGATTCTCTCTCATCGATGTTTCTAACTTTCTATCTCTTTCCCTTCCTCTCTGTAAAAAATCAATAAAAAAATATTAAAAAATAAAAAATAAAAAGCAAATGTAAATTAAAAAAATAAAAATTAAAAAAGACAGGCTATCCTGTCGGCCCACTGAGAGAATTCCTTGTGAAGGCCAGATCTCCTGATGGCCTGGGCATCTTCCCACGGCCACGGGCCCTAACGATGTGGGTGCCCTCTTGTCCTTTGTACTGACCTCAAACCCAGTCCCAATAACCTGGCCCTAAACCCTAGTCAGTAACACACGTTGACTCGCTGCTGCTGAAAGGCTGAGAGAAGCCTGAGAGTCCCTCGGCCAGGTGGTTTCTGAGGATAACTGTCGGGCGGTGCTGACAAGCTGCCCACAAAGCAGCCGTCAATCTGGCAAGCTTCCCTCTTATTGCCCCCTTCCCAGCGCACCACGCAGAAAGTACAGAGGCCAGGCTGACCAGCTGATTTTTTTTCTTTTCCGTTTTAAGTTGCAAAGCGGAGTCCCTGTTTCCCCCCCACACCTCTCACCCATCTAGATAGTTTATGTGTTGTATTTTGTTGCGTTCAGGACAGGGTTTTCATCCATCCAATCAGAGCAGAACCAACAACCTCCAACCCTCCGCTGTCTTTAGGGCCTTTTCCTACAGATGATCCTGTTAGATCTCAAAGTCATCCGGGGGATGAACGGGTGTGCGGGGGTGGTTAGGAGGAAAGCCGGGGCGCACAGAGGAAGCAAAGTGTCCCCACGCCCAGCGAAAGGGCCAGGGCTGCACACAGACAGTGAACCTCAGGCTCTCCTCCTCCTCTGACTCTCCGTTACTTCGGAAAGAGAACGCAGAGAGGGAACCAGACCATCCTGGTGTCAAAGCAGCAGCAAGCGGGAAAGCTTGCTCGTCTGGCGACTAGCCGGCTTAGGAAGTCCATCCTCGAGAAGTCGGCTGGGACAGAACCGAGCGCCGTCCTCTCGTCCTCAGGCCCACCCTGACCTAGACATGGGCCTCTCCCTCCGGAGTCTCGTCACCCACGGTCCCCGCGGGGCGTCCGGAGGCGGGGCCGCTACTCATGGGGTGCACCTGGGTTCCCAGTGGATGGCCGGCTGGGGGCCGGGGCAACAGGAGTTTCTGCGCGTCCAGTCGCGAGCCCGTCACGCCTACACCAGCCAGACTCTGAGGCCGCCGCTGGCCCCGGAGACCCGCGCGGGGAACAGCCAGCAGAAAGGTCCGCGGCGCCCCGACCCCGGCCCGGCCGCCCGACCTGCGCATGCTCCGCCCCGTGCGCATGCGCACCCCCGGCAGCGGCCTTCCCCTAGAGTTCCCAGCCGCCTCGTCCCGGTTCCGAACGCTGGCTCCCGCAGCCACGCCCCTCGCGTCCCCTCCATCCCCCGCCGCACTCCTCACCTTGCGCCCGGTCTTCTCCCGTAGGGCCTTCAGCCGTTCCTTCCGCCGCAGCGCTTCTTCCTCTAGCCGGCCCACACCGGCCGCAGGAGCAGCCATCTTGCCCGCCGTCAGTCTCACACTGCGCAGGCCCAATGAGTAGATGGCGTTCACAGCCAATCCGAGGACGAATCCGAGAGAGCAGGAAGTCCTGAAAGCCAATCTACGCTGAGTTGCTATGGAAGGGCCCGCCCCCTCCCTCTCCTACGACTCGCCCAGCCGGTAGGGGGCGGGCATAGCGTGAGGCGTTCAACGTCAATCAGTGAGAAAGCAGCAAGTGGAATCAGACCTGAGTGAAGGAGAACAGAGCGCGTCGAACGCTCAGGTTTTGGCTAAAGCGCTAGCTAGCCACAGCTCGCTGCACGCCGGCCACTTGGAAAGCGCTGACCCAAACCTTTGTGCACGTGTTCTGATTCTTCAAGGCTCCAAAGCCTTCAAGAAGCCTTCTCTGACTCGCCACTCCGACCCCAGCCTAACAAGAAGTCTACCTCTCCCTTTGTGTTCACCATCAGTGGCTCTTGGGATTGTCCATGGGCCCTTCGACCCTTCTATGTCCACTCTCAGCTCAGACAAAGCCTGTGCCATGCAGGGCTTGCCTGGATGACAATTTCCCTTCGGGGTCATGGATGGTCCTCTCCCATCTCTCCAACACCCTGGAGTGGAAAAGTACCTGGGGTCAGACTACCCAGCCTGGAGAAGGGCAATCCCCAACCTGGGCCCCGAGGAACCCCTAGAGCTTAGTCCCTGAGAACTGAAGGGAGAGTTGGTTTGGCCTCGACGGCACCAGGTGGCCACCAGGGCTCTGCTCCTGGTAGGCTCTTCCCTGCATTAATCAGCGCGCCCTGACAACCGAGACCCCTTCGGCTAAAGTAAAGATCTGACAACATGTTGGGGTCCCCAGAACTCTATCTTCCCCCACCTGGGAAATCAAATGCCACTTGGCCACAGATCCCCCCAACCCTGCTCCCCCAAACAACCTTCTGGACCTCACTGACCTGGGCCTTTTGGCTCCCTATCTCCTGCGTCAGGTGGGGTGCCTGGTATGCAGATGGCAGATACTCAGGAAATGGCACTCAGTGGTAGGATGGACGGGGCAGGAGAAAAGGCCAGCGTAGAGGGCTGCCCAAGAAGCCAAGAGGACAGAACAGGATGGGGATGGGAATGGGGACAGAGTCTGTCTTCCCAAGGTCTAGGGGCTCCAGACTGGTCAAGTCCTACACCCTCTCTGGGCCCCACAAACCCCCCCCCCAGCCCCGACCAAGGGCCTGGCCCCTCCTCAACACCAGAGGGCCCCTCACCTCCCAAACCAGCTGGGAAGGTTGATGGACAGAAGCCGAGGATGATAGTGGCCCAGCAAGGCGTGAGTCAGGCCTCTTGTCCCTGTCCATGTGCCCCTGGCTGCCCAGGTCGTCCCATCTTGGCCCCTCTGGGCTCCCGTTTCTCCTCCTGCAAAACAAAGGCATGAGGCACCCCCTTGCCTCTAACCTCTTAAGGTTAAAGAATTCGAAATATGTGAAGTAAGCACTGAACCTGGAGCGGCCGTGTTTCCACCAGCACACCCAGGAGAGCTTGGCTAACTCTCCCGGGGATCTGCCCCGCATGGGATGAGGGGACTGCTCTCCCAGGGGGTCCCTTCAGGCTGTTCTGCTGCTCTGACCCCCATTCTGCTCCACCAACAGTCCATGCAGAGAAGTGGCACTTGGGCCCCAGCCGGCTTGGCTCAGTGGATAGAGCGTCAACCTGCGAACTGAAGGGTCCTGGGTTCAACTCCCCTTCAGTCCCCATGCCCGGGTTGTGGGCTCGATCCCCAGGAAGGGACCTGTGCAGGAGGCAGCCAATCGATGATTCTCATTATTTAAGTTTCTCTCTGCCTCCCTCTCTGAAGTCAATTTTTTAAGTGGTTTTTTTTATTTTTGTAAGTTGTCCGCGGTCTGAAAGCAGCCCCTGCGCGCGGTCAGCTCCACAAGTGGTCGCCATGGTAACTGTCACACTTGCTGGTGGAAGGACACTGGGCACTGCCCGCGGCCGCAGCGCTTCCCGCACCCGCGAGCCCCTCCTTGGCACAAACGGTGGCGAGGCCAGCCCGGCAGGCTGCGTCCGGGGGTGTCAGACCCAGGACACACGCGGAGCGCCTGACCCCGACATTCATGGGGCTCGGCCCTGGGGGCGGGGCCGCGGCACCCCGCGGCCGCCCGGACCCAGGCCCCTCCTCCCCGCTCCCCGCCCCGCGCTCGGTCCCCGGAGAGGCGGGGCGCGGGGCGCCGAGGGCAGGAAGCGGGGCGGCGGCCGCGAGGAGAGCGCGCCGATCGGAGGCTCCGCGGGGCCGGGACGGCTTCCCTGGAGTCCCCGCCGCTCCGCCCGGACAGACGTCCGCCGCCCATGGGCCTGGCCGCGGGCAGCCGGCGGGCGGCGCGGAGGAGGCGGCGGCGGCAGGTGGCGCGCAGCGGGGCCGGAGCCGGGCCGGGCCATGGCCGCCCCGGAGCGACTCTGCGAGCTGTGGCCGCGGCGCCGCACGCAGGTGAGCCGCCCGCCCCGCCCGCGCCCACCGGGTCCCAGCCCCGCGCCCACTGCGTCGCAGCCCCGCGCCCACTGCGTCGCAGCCCCGCGCCCGCACCTGCTGCACCTGCGCCCGGAGCCGCCAGGGCCGCGGGGACACGCGCAGGGGAGCCCGGCCCCGCGCACCGCGTGCGCCTTACCCCTGGGAGAGCGCCTCGGGGTGGGCCCCTCGGGAGACCCTGTGGGGGGGACCATGCCTCCACATCTACAAGCGGGGAAACTGAGGCTGGGGAAGGAAAGGAAGAGGGCGGGGAGGCTGGGGCTGCATGTGGCCCGGCCCCTCCCGCAGGTGTGGCCCCGGCGCCCTCGGGCCTGAGTGAGCTGGGGGAGGGTAGAAGGGGGTGCAGCCGGGCGTGCCCACCGCGGTGCCCTCGGACGCCAGCCCTTGCCCGGGGGACGGGCCGTGGCGAGCGCCCCTTCAGCCCACGCGGGGCTGGCCCGGTCCAGGCGGAAGACACGGTGCGGAGCGTGGGGCAGGGGCCGAGCTGGGAGGGAAGTTTGAAAGGGATGGAGGCGCTCCCCTTCCCGCGGAGCTCCCGTCTGGTGTCCTGTCCCCGGGACCGCCTCCAATAATGGCTTCGGAAGGTGAGGTCCCGGCAGAGCTGAGAACCCGGGGTTCCTCACTCTGTCCGGTGCACACAGCCCCCCCTTCCCTCTGCATCCGCGGCAGGAGGGCTCCCCGGATACTGCCCCCTCCCTCACCCAGCACCAGCCTCCCCCCCTGCACCTGCTGGCATCTCGCTCCTGGCTCAGGTGTGCCCCGGACACAATGGGCTATTGTGCCCCTGATCTGGTCACTGTGGGGAAGTTCGTGCTCAGATCAGCCGGCCCTCCGTGACGAGGCTGCCCAGCCATCTCCCGGGACGACAGGCCGGCGTGGGGGCCCCAGGGACCTGGAATCCAGGCCACGAGGGCCACAGCTTTTGGAGGCCAGTCCGGTGGCGAGAGGGCGGGAGGCTGTGTACAGAGGGAAGCTGGTCCCTCTTTGATGTGACCAGGGCAAGCTCTGTGCACAGCCTGGACCCTGCAGAGGGGTGGCCAGTAGGACTGGTCTGGGCCGGAGCAGGCTGCTGCGTCCCTGGCCCCATGGGGTCCCTCACCCCAGCCTGACTCCATCTCCACGGGCTGGTCTCTGTGAGGGATCGAGGATCAGAAGGACACCTGCCCTGGCCCAGGCAGGTCCTGGGTCCTCGGTGTGTCCTGTGACCAGTGATGAAACTGAGGGATGCTCATGGAGGGTCCCCAGGCCGGCGGCCCCCTGAGGGAGGATGCCCCTGCACCCCCTCTAGCTGAGCTCAGCAATGTCAGCCCCCCTGGTCCCTCAGGAGGTGTATCTGTGCCCCCTGCCCCCCGCCCCCAGCTCCTCACCTCACAGGGCAGGCCTGGGGCACAAGCTGGCTGGTTGCGGCCTTAGAAGCCTGGACAGGCCAGGGGCAGCCGGGGCCTGGCAAACAAACCCAGGATGTGAGTGTGGACTGGGAGCCAGGCGGGGCCGGGCTGCCGGAGAGGAAGCCCGCACCGCCTTCCTGCCCACTCGGTGCTGCTCTGCTCCGGCTGTGCCGCCTGGAGCCGGCTAGGGACCAGCGGGTGTGCTTGGGGGGGAGGGGGGAGAGTAAGGTGAGGTAAAGGGTTGAACTGATAGAGGGTGTGAATAGGCCCCGGAGTTGGCCGGCCACCCAGCCAGAGGCTCCCAGCACCTGCGCCCCTCCCTTCAGCAGGGAGAGCTGACATCAGCTGGCAAACCTGTTTCCCCAGTTGTGGGTCCTGGCCCGCCCTGGGGAGCAGCCCCTGCTGCCCTTCCTCTCCCCTCACGGATCCCAGGTCCAGACCCACCCATGCCCCCCACCCCACTCAACACGGGGCTACCCAGGGGGGAGGGAAGGGGCTGTGGGTGCTCCTGCAGGAAGGAGCCACATCATCAGTCTGAGGTCCCTCGGGCCCCGGTGGGGACACCAAGACAGGGTCACACCAAGGTCAGCAAACAAGTTTGGGGCAGAGGTCGGGCCGGCCTCCGCCTGTGTCTTTCCACCTGTCCCCTGGGCGGGGGCTGCACAGGCTGTTCTTCCTCCCGTCCCAGACCAAGCCGGACCTCCGCCCAGGGTCCCCACGGTCACCTCATTGTACTTGCTACTCCAGGCTCCGCAGCGCCTCACATGGGGTGGGTGCTCCTTGGTCCAGCCAGTGGCTGGACAGAGAGAGCCACAGCGGTGGCCAATCAGGGAAGCCGGGCCAGAGGAGGCTGAGTTTGGGCCGGAAGGGCTTCAGGACGGAAACAGCAGGAGCAAGAACGGGACAGTGGAGTGAGGGGGGCCCGGGGGCAGGTGGGGGCATATCCAGAGGAACCCACCCACCAGGGCTTCTCCGGGGGAGGGCGAGGGGAAGGGGGCAGCACCCTACAGGCCAGCAGCAGGGCAGCATGGAAAGTTTATGCAAAATAACATGCAAATGAATGGCCCCTTTTCTGCTGGAGCAGGGCTGTCCCTCAAAGCCCCCAGGGAAAAGGAACACTGTGGGGAGTGGGGGCACCATTCAGGGTCACAGAGGTCAGGATGGGACATACGTTGAGGTTACAGGTGGGGGGTCCAGGTTGAAGTCCCCAGTTTTGCCTCTGAGGACTCAGGGGTCCTCGGAGGTCAGGTCAGAGGTGGGCTGGACCTTCCTCTGCCCACCCCTCCCTGACTGGCGACCTCATGGAAACCTGGCGAGGTCCTCTGGGACCTTAGCTGGGTCCTATGCTTTCCTGTGCCTCAGTTTACCGTCCTCCGTTGCCAAGGCAACCGAAGGGGCGGGGCTGAGGTGTTGGGGAGACTAGCAGAGCTCAGGGGCTGGTAATCCCTGGGGTTGTTATGGCAACTGGGGAGCTGATGTTGAATTGTGGGGTCCCCATGGAAACAGGGTCTGTTACTCCGGGGACCCTGGAAGGAAATTCCTGGTTTCCATGGTGATAGGACAAGGGTGAGATTAAGCCCAGGGTGTGGTGTTATGGAGACCAGCAGGTCCACCCCTTTGAAGATCCCCTCCCCAAGGAAAGGGGGAACCTGGTCCTGTCCCCGGGGCCCTGGGTCCACTCTGCTCCAGGTCCCTGCCCCTGGCAAAGCCCCATCTTCCTGCTTCATTCCTAGGTCCTGCAAGTCTGACCTCTGGGCCTTGTGTGGTCAGGCCCCTGCCGGCTGGCCTTGCCATCCCCCCCTGATGCTGAGGGGGAGGCCCTGCCCCTAGAGGTTGCCCGGAGCAGGCCTGTCCCATACCTGCCTGCCTCTCCAGGAGATGGTGCTCATACCACGCAGCGGCTGTGGTGGAGGAGTCCCCGCTGTGGAGCTCAATCTTCTCCCCCTCCCCTGCGCCCAGCGCTCCGGGCCCACCCAGGTGCCCCGGCTCCCCTGCCGGGGCCAGCCAGCGGGGAGGGGCCCGGAGACCAGGTCTGACACTCATCTGTCACTCAGGGAAGGGGGTGGGGAGAAGACAGGTGTTGCCCTAGAAAGCTCACACCCCTGGCCTGGCCGGCTTGGCTCAGTGGTTGAGCATCATCTCCTATGAGCCAGGAGGTCACAGTTCGATTCCCGGTCAGGGCACATGCCTGCATTGTGGGCTCGATCCTCAGGGCCGGCCTTGCAGGAAGCAACCGATCCATGATTCTCTCTCCTCATGGATGCTCCTCTCTCCCCCCGGCCCTCCTCTCTGAAGTCAGTATCTATATGGAAACGCTCCCACTGACCTGGCCACGTGCTGCTGGGTGCAGTGGGAGAGCCTGACTAGTGAAGCGAGGCGATGGTTTTAAAGAGGCAGCTGGAGTGAAGAGACTAATGCATGTTATGTAACAAGCTACCAAGTGGGAGAACCAGGCGTGGACTCCGGAACCAGTGCCCTCGGCTGGCTCAGTGGCAGCCCCAGCCTCTGCAGCACCACATGGGGTGGGTCTGGGAAGGGTCCTGCCTCCAGCGGGGAGCACTGAGGCAGAGGAAACATGGAGAACAAAGCACATGTGGGCCTCTAGGGGACAGCGAGGTCCTTGGACCGGGCATCCAGGGAGCCCTGGCTGGTCTTTCTCAGTGGGTAGCGCTGTGCCTTGGGGACTGATGGGTTCTGGGTTCGATTCCGGTCAAGGGCATATACCTTGGTTGCAGGCTCCAGTTCTTGCGCTGAGGCCTGGGGCCCCGGGGAGCAGCTGAGGCTGCTGGGAGCGGCCTGCGATGTGTTCCTGGCCCTTTGTCCTTCTCCAGGCAGACCTGACCATCCCCTCTGCCCCCGGAAAGACAGTTGTCGTCAGCGCTCAGCTGGTTGGGATGGAGCTCCGGGGAGCGGGGGGCAGCACGGAGGAGAGAAGGCGGCATGAGGGCGGGACCCCCACTGGGTCCAGGCCAAGACCCTCTCGGCTCTCAGCAGCGGCCGCCCACACGGCGGTCCATTAGGCCAGCCCCCACCGCATGCCTAGGCCCAGGCACAGCTCCTCGGGCTCTGGCCCAGAGCCGCGCGCCGCCTCCTGGTGTGCCAGGCCCCACCTGCTGATGCTGGGCCGTTCCTCTCCGCTCCTCCGCCTGGGCCCTGGGTGCCCCGTCCCCCACCCCGCCCCCACCCCACATCCCTGCGGTCTGCCGGGAGGAAGCAGCCCTCCTCCCCCACCGTGACTCTGCGCTTCCTGCCCCGGGCTGGGGCGGGAGGCGACGTTTCCGTTCACACCCAAGGTTCCCTGGCGGCACCCAGACTGGGCTCGGCCGCTGCCCCTTCCCCCATGGAGCCGGCTCTGGGGCCTGGGGTCCAGGTAACCAGCAGGCGGGCGGAGGCTCCCAGGGCGAGGCAGGGCGTCCTGGAACAGGCGTGAGCTCGGTCCGCCTGGCTGGGGGTGCACGTGCACCTGCAGTCACGGCAGGCTTCCCGGAGGTGGTGGCTGCCGAGCTAGAAGACGGTGGCAGGCGAGGGCTCAGGGCTGGCTGGTGGGTGTGGGCCCTGGCCGTGCCCCAGGCATGCACACACGTGGGCCCCTCCCCTGCCTCTGCCAGGCCCGCCTGGATCCCCTGAGGCCGGGGAGATGTGGACAGGAGCTGGGGAGATGTGGACGGGAGGCCTGGGAGGGCTGTTGGCACAGCCCAGACACCTTCTGATGCGAACCTTCTGGCTTCCTGCCTCGCTCGCCCCTGCCTGTCTCTGTCCCTCCCCTTCTCCACCCCCTCGGCTCTCTGCTCCCTCTGCCCCTTGCCCACTTCCGTGCACGCTCCCCTATGTCTCCATCCCTTGGTCCCCCCCCATGGCCCCTGCACCCCTTCTAATCCCACCCTGTCCCCCCTCCAAACCTGCAGGAGGACCCAGGCTCCCTGCAGCAGTGGCTGAAGGCCTACGTGGGCGCCTTCGAGGAGAGCATCTCGCTGTCCTCGCTGGAGCCGCGCAGGTGAGGCGGCTCTCAGGGGGTGAGGGGGAGAGAAGGGCGGGGGCCCCTCGGAGCCCCAGTGACCCCACCTCCCCGCAGGCGCGAGGAGGCGGGAGCCGAGGCGCCGTCGCTGCCCCCGGATGCGCTGCGTGTGCTGGCCGAGCAGCTGGACCAGGGGGACCTGGAGCAAAGCCTGCTGCTGCTCAAGCTCTTCGCCATCCTGGGCAGGTGGGTGCGCGGCCCTGCTGGGGGGGGGGGGGAGGCCGGGGCTCCCCTGCTCCTGCGGCCTCTCCATCGTCCCCCAGGAACCCGGAGAGCCTGGAGGCCGGCTGCGGGCAGGCGCTGGCGCCCCGCGTCCTGGCGCTGCTGACCCGGCTGGTGGCCCAGGTGAGTGGCCTCCCTGTGGGCGGGACGGGGAAGGGGACAGCCGCCGCCCCGCCGACCCTCCCCTTCTCCCCGCAGCTGAGAGGGCGCCCCCCGCCGCCGGAGGGCCGTGCGCTGGAGGAGGCGGCCCTGCATGCCCTGCTCCTCTGTGAGCGCCTCTTCGACCCCCACCAGGCCCGCGGGTGAGGGCCCGCCCCGGGGCCGAGGGTGGGGTGCGGGTGGGAGGGCTGGGGTGCGGGCGGCCTGGCCGCTGTGGCCGCGAGTGCAGGTGGGGGGGCTGGTCCTGGCGGGGGCGGTGACCAGGAGGGTGCAGTGCCCAGCTCACCCGGCCCCCTGCCCCCGGATACCCCCTTCCCCAGGGACGTCGTCGGCGCCAAGGAGAAAGGCAAACGCAAGTTGCCTCCTGCGGCTCTGCCTGCGGAGTTTGGGGCCTTCTTCGCAGGTCAGGCCTCGCCCCCGCCCCGCTTGGCCCGCCCCCTCCGCTTGGCCCCGCCCCTGCCTGAGTGGCCCGCCCTCTCCGCTTGGCCCCGCCCCGCCCTGGAACACCCTAAAACCGTCCCTGGTCCAATCCCGTTGTCCCTGTAGCCCCACCTGGTTGCCACCCTCCTCGGGACCATGTGCTCACTAGCTGTACTTCCTCCTCCTCCTCCCTCCCGGAGGGCCTGGCCCCCGAAAGGCCACCTGCTCCCCCTGGGAACCCCTTCTCCTGTCATCAGAGGGAGACTGGCCAGGGCTTTAGCTGGGCCCTGGTCAGGGCTCGTGCAGGAGGCACCCATCCATGTGTTTCTCTCACGTCAGTGTTTCTGTCTTCCCCTCTCTTCCACTGTCGAAAACCAATGGGAAATGTCCTCGGTGGGGCTTTAAAAAAAGGTGTGTCCTTGTCTCTGGATGTCCCGGGAGCGGCCTGGGCCTGGAGCAGGGATGCAACTTCAGGAGGGAAGACACCCCGGGAGCTCCCCGCCTCCATCCCTGCCCCAGTGCTCTCCTCAGAGCAGAACAGGTCCCTGCCCACGAGGCCTGGCACCCCAGGACCAAGCCCTGCCCCCCAGGGCCTTCCTCCCCAGCCCCAGCCAGGCCCTGCCCTCTCGCTCCTAGAAGGCAGGGCAATAGGCAGCCACCTCAGGCCCTGCCCCCACTAGACCTCCCACCCCACCCCCTGAGGCGACCAGCCTGCTCTGGCTCCCCCCCCTCCCCCGGGGGCCCAGGCTGGGCCTTGCTGCGCTCTGGGTTTCGGTCTGTGGCCTGGCATCCTGTCCACCGGTGAAAGCCCCTAGAAGCCCCACAGGCCGGGCTGGGCGGTGGGGGCGGTGAGGACCTCCACACCAGACACAGCAGCCCCCGCCCAGCAGCTCGCGGTGGGGAAGCCCCAGCAACCGTCAGGGCGCAGGGACCGGAGATTTGCATCTGGTTTCCATGGGGAGGCGGGAGGGTGCCCACACAGGGGCTGAGTCCAGGGGGCTGCTCGGCGCTCAGCGTCCTTGGAGCTCCCCAATAAGGGCTGTGTCCCCCCCCAGGCCCCTTGGTGAAGAACCACGGCTTTAAGATCTCTCCGCTCAGAACCAGGCCTCCTCCCTCAGCCCCCTCCCCAACCCCCACCCCCGGCTCCCCCCGTTTGTAGACCCCGAAGGTGCCCGGCCTGCGAGCTCGGTGACCTTGTCCTGCTCCCCCCCATCCAGAGAGCCTGCAGGAGGCAGAGCGCCTGCCCCCCACGCTGCTGCTGCAGCTCCTCCAGCTCTTCGGGGCCGTCCTGGCCGGAGGGAAGGTAGGCCGGGCGCGCCCTGTGGCCAGAGGGTGGCTGTCTGGAGGTCGCCCTGGAGGAGCCCGTGCCCACTGCCCGTCTCCGTCCCTGCCTGCAGGAGAACGGGCAGCTGGCCCTGAGCGCCGGCTCCGTGCAGGGCCTGCTGGGCGTGGTGCAGGGCTGGGGCCGCGGGGCCCAGGACCCCCGCCTGGTGGCGCTGGCGCTGGAGGCGCTGGTGGGCGCCGTCCACGTCCTGCATGCCAGCCGCACGCCCCACCGAGGCCCGGAGCTGCACGCCCTGCTGGAGGGCTACTTCCGCGTCCTGAACGCCGACTGGCCGGCCGCGCCCGGCCCCGAGGCGGTCCTGGTCAGCCTACGCGTCGCCATGCTGGGTGGGCCTGGGCCCTGGCCGGGCGGGGGCCTGGGCGGGACCGGGAGGACGGCCTCTGGGAGGGGTGGGCGGCTGACCCTGCTCCTCCACAGACGCCATCCCCCGGATGCTGGCCTGCGAGGACCGACCGGTGCTGCAGGCCACCTTCCTCAGCAACAACTGCTTCGAGCACCTCCTCCGCCTCATCCAGAACAGCAAGGTGGGCCGGGCGGGGGCGGCCGGGGGGCCGCGTGTGGGTGTCCAGAGGCTACTGGGCCGCAAACCTGGGGGGACCAGCTGGTGTGGTGCCTGCGGCCGAGGATGGCTCTGTCCCCACAGGAGGGGGTGCTGCCCTAGTCTCCCTTTTCCCTCTCCCCAGCCCCAGGTGCGGGGCAGGGGGATGGCTCTGCGGTTTGGATGCAGTGCCTGCTCCTGTCCATTTAGCCGCCCGACCTGCCCCTCTGAGCAGGGCCTGGGGCTCCGCGTCCCTCCCCTTCGCTAGGGCCTGGGGGGGGCCACTCAGCCTGCCCTCAGGGCGCATCCTTCCAGTTGGGCAAGCCCTGCTCTAACCCTGTGCCTCCCTCACCTCCCCTCTCTCTCCTCTGCCTCCTCCACCCTGTGCCCCCCCCCCCACAGCTATACCTGCAGGCCCGGGCGCCCCCTGAGGGGGACAGTGACCTGGCTACCCGGTTACTGACCGAGCCCGATGTCCAGAAGGTACCACCCGGGGCTGACCCGCCCAAGAGGCTCCCGGGGCACCCACCCCTGGCTCCTTGTGCCCTCCCTGCACTCTGCAGGGGGGTGAGCGGACAGGGAAAGGCCTGGCGTGGCCTGGCAGCGGGGTTGGGTGTCCCAGGCCATCTCACCTATTTCCCACGTCCCTGACTAAAGGGACCGGGCAGGGGTGACCTGTGTCCTGCCTCGTCTTGCTTTTGGGCGCTGGGGTTTGGCTGTGCCAAGCCGGAGGGAACCTTCGAAACTCAGCCACCTGCACCCACTTCCCGGGAGGGAAACAGCTGCTAGAGGTGCAGGGATTGGGCTGCAGTCGGTCCTGGGACGAGGGCTCCCCCACATGGGGGAGCCTTGCACCTGCTCTAGGAAGGCCCGGGAGTCCCCCTCTTCCCTCCCCTTCCTGTGGGGGCCGGGAAGCTCAGGGGATCAGGGGCTCCACCTAGGGCACCCTCTCTCTGGTGGCTCAGGGCCTGGGCTCCAGCCTCCAGGGCCCATGAGAGGCAGCCCCAGGTCTGTGGCCCTTGGCTGCATCCTGAGAGCCGGCATGTCCACTTGTCGGCGAGGCAGCGAGGCCCCTGGTTATAGATGAGGGTCTGAGCGGTGGCCCGGGTCCCCAGGAAGATCAGGCAGAGCTGGGCCCAAGGGCCATGGAGCCAAAACCCCAGCACCTGCTGACCACGTCCCCACGTCCCCTGGGCGGGCCGGCCCCTCAGGCTAGGGCAGGGAGTGGGCGCTGCCTCGGGCTCTCGGGGTCAGCCAGGGGAGCCTCAGTCCCCCCTTGGATCTGGAGGGCAAGGGGCAGGGCACACTGCAAGGTCTCGAAGGTTCTTCTGGTTCTGAGGTTCTGTGATGATCGCCCCCCATTCCCTGCCCTGCCAATCATCCTGGGTGGAGGGCACTTGCTGGCCTGCCTGCACGTGTGACGGGTGTGGGCGGGGGTGGATGGAGGGGCGGCGGCCCATAAGCCCCCAGACGGAGGGGTGCGGCGAGAGGGCCTCCCAGCCTTGGCGCTGTCCCTGGCCTCTCGGTCAGAGTGGTGGCTCTGGCCAGTCACTCTGAGAGGGCCCGGGGTCCGGCTGAGGCCCAGCAGCTCGGGCGGCGTGGAGGGCCTGGTGCCAGCCGGGGTTACCGTGCCCCCAGGGCCCCCGCCCGCTCAGCCACCGCCTGGGCACCTGCTCCTGGCCCTGCACCCCTCCTACTGCAGTGCCCGCTGCCAGCGGTGGTGCCCGGCTCTCCTGACTGCCCCTCCCCCCAGGTGCTGGACCAGGACTCGGACGCCATCGCCGTCCACGTGGTCAAGGTGCTGACCTGCGTCATGAGTGGCTCCCCCTCGGCCAAGGTGAGGCCACGCGGCAGGGCTGGGCAGGAGGGACAGGCACTGTGGGCAGGAGGCTGTCAGAGCAGGGGAGCCGGAGCGTGCAGTCAGGCCCTGGGCGGGCCGGCCATCCGTCGGCCCTGGAGCTGGTGTCCTGGGTGGGGACTGCTTGGGGGATGGACGTGTGGACCTCCCCTCCACCCCCGAGTCCCTCGCAGCCCCGCCCCTGCCAGCTTGTGGAGCCCTGGGCACTGCTGCCTCCGCCAGGGTTTCCGTGGGGGTGAGTTGCCCTGGGCCCACATCCACGTCCGTGCCCCCCGCCCCCAGGAGGTGTTCAAGGAGCGCATCGGCTACCCCCACCTGCACGAGGTTCTGCAGAGCCACGGCCCCCCCACCCACCGGCTGCTGCAGGAGCTGCTCAACATGGTGAGGGCAGCCAGGCTGCTGCAGGAGCTGCTCAACATGGCTGGGCAGCCAGGACCGAGGCGGGGCAGTGACCACGGCCAGCACGTCCTGTGACTGTGGCTGGCCCCGTGTCGGGGCGGCTGGGGGGAGGCGCTGGGCTGCTGGGGGCCTGAAGCTGCTGCCTGTTAGCAAGTCCCAGGATTCTCCTGGGCGTTAGGCCTGCTAAGGGGCTGGAGGACTGTCGTCGGGACTGGGCCTGGGACACAGCCTGGGAGCTGCGGGGGAGGTCGGGGCGAGTGCACGGGGAGAGGAGCCCCACGGGGGCAGGTTACCTGCTCCGGCCAGGGGCCAGGAGCCAGGAGCCAGGACCGCTCTCCCCCGCAGGCCGTGGAGGGCGACCACAGCGCGTGCCCGCCGCCACCCGTGCGCAACGAGCAGCCGGTGCTGGTGCTGACGCGCTGGCTGCCCGCGCTGCCCGCTGAGCTGCAGCTCTTCCTGGCCCAGCGCCTGGCGCGGCTCTGCGACAGCGGCCCCGCCAGCCGCGCCACCTGCGTGCGGGCCGGGCTGGTGGGCTGCCTGCTGGAGACGCTGGGCGCGGGGGCGGCCCTGGGCGCCCGCTGCCGGGACCAGCTGCTGGCGCTGCTGCAGGCCCTGGGCCGCGTGTCGCTGAGGCCCCGGGAGCTGCGCCGCCTGCTCCGCCCGCCCGCCGGGCTGGACGCCGGGCCGGGCGGGGCCGAGGGCGCAGGTGCCCGCCACGCGGGCGCCGTCATCCGCGTGCTGTCGGGCATGGCCCGGCCCCGGGGCCCCGCGCGCGCCCTGCACTACTTCGACCTCACACCCGGCATGGCGGGCATCATGGTGCCCCCCGTGCAGCGCTGGCCGGGCACCGGCTTCACGTTCCACGCCTGGCTCTGCCTGCACCCGGCGGCCGCCGCCCCGGCCCCGGCCCCGGCCCCGGCCCCCGCCCGGCGTCTCCAGCGGAAGCAGCTGTACAGGTGGGTGGGTGCGTGCTGGGGACCGGGCCGAGTGCCGGAGGCACGGAGGACCCTCACGGGCTCGGCCTGTCCCCAGCTTCTTCACCAGCAGCGGCTCCGGGTTCGAGGCCTTCTTCACGGCGGCCGGGACCCTGGTGGTGGCTGTGTGCACCAGGAAGGAGTACCTGACCCTGAGCTTGCCGGAGGTTTCCTTTGCCGACTCTGCCTGGGTGAGCCTCCATCCTTGTGTGCGGGGGGCGAGGAGGGGGGACATCCTCAGGCGGCTGGCAGGGGCCTCCCTCCCCACCCCAGCCTGACGCCGCCGTGCTCTGTCCCAGCACTGCGTGGCCATCGTCCACGTGCCCGGCTGGCTCTTCAGCCAGAACCTGGTGCACGTCTACAAGGACGGCCACCTGGTCAAGACCGCGCCCCTCCGCTGCCCCTCCCTCACCGAGGTGCGCCCGGCCGGGTTTGGGGGGACCTGGACGGGGGGGGGGGGGTCTGTGCAGCCCTGGGGGCCTCTGTGCAGAGCTGCATGCGGGTGGCCCCCAGGCTGTGCTGTGAGCTCACTGTCCCCCCCCACCCCCCGCCCCACAGCCCTTCTCCTCCTGCTGCATCGGCTCCGCCGGCCACCGCACGACCACCACCACCACGGGGCTGCCGGCGCCAGCGGCGCCCACCGCCCTGGCTCCCACGCACCCCTCCCTCACCCGCTCCCAGTCGGTCCCGGCGACGGCGGGGCTGGGCTGGGGGGCGGGGCTGGGGGCCGCTCCGCAGGAGGGCAGCATCAGCTCCACCCTCGCAGGCACCCAGGACACGCGCTGGGGCAGCCCCACCTCCCTGGAGGGCGAGCTGGGGGCCGTGGCCATCTTCCATGAAGCCCTGCCCGCGGCGGCCCTGCAGGCCCTGTGCAGCCTGGGTACGCAGCCCCCTCCCGGCCGCCCCCGCCCCCCACCCCCCCGTTCCCCACTCAGGGTGGCTGGAGCCGCAGAGAGCCCAGGCCAGAAAGTAGGGGCTCCGGGGAGAAGGCATCCCGGGAAGGGCGCTGGGCAGGGCTCTGGCGGGGGCAGCCGGTGTGAAGGCCCTGCCCCCCTCTTCCATCCTTCCCCTGCCCCCCTTTCCCCCAGGGCCCAACGAGACAGCACCCTTCAAGCCCGAGGGCGACCTGCACGAACTGGGCGCCAAGCTGCTCCTCCATTACTCCCCTCAGGTACTGGGGGGCAGCTGGCTCAGCCCCGTGACCTCCCCGGCACCCCACGCCGGCCGCCCCCCACCTGATCCTGCTGTCCACTCGCCCGCCCGCAGGCCTGTCAGGACAACATGTGCCTGGACCTGTCCCCTGGGCACGGGCTGGACGGCCGCCTGACCGGCCACCGGGTGGAGACCTGGGACGTGAAGGTGTGTGGGCACATGTGGGCACGTGTATGTACAGGGCGGGCTGGGTGCGGCACGGTGCCCTGGGAGGCCTGGGTTTGAGAGCAGAACTCCCGGCCCGAGTGCCCAGACTAGACAGGACGGGTGGCAGGGCCGGGGCAGGGCTGGAGCTGCCTCTCACGCCCGCCCACCCGCCCCCAGGACGTGGTGAACTGTGTGGGCGGCATGGGCGCCCTGCTGCCCCTCCTGGAGCGAGTGGCCGCGCAGCCCCTGGAGGCCGAGGCAGGTCCCGCTGAGACGCACGACCTTGTGGGGCCCGAGCTGACCTCTGGCCACAACACCCCGGGCCTGCCCCTCGCCCTGAACAAGTCCCCAGGTGAGCGTCCGGTGCTGGGCGGAGGGGGGGTGTTGGCGGGTGGGGGGAGGGAATGGTGGCGGGTGGCGGGCGGGGGTGGGGGGCGAGGGGTGGGGAGAGGTCGGATGGCGGAGTCTGTGGCCGCTGGCAGGCCCGTGACGCACACACCTGTCCCCTTCCTGTGGCCGCAGAGGAGCGGATGGAGAGGAACGCGGTGGCGGCCTTCCTGCTGATGCTGCGGAACTTCCTGCAGGGCCACCCCGTGAACCAGGAGAGCCTGGTGCAGTGCCAGGGCCCCGCCATCCTCGGGGCGCTGCTGCGCAAGGTGGGCCCGGGGGCCGGGAGCGCTGCCTGTCTCGCCAGGGGCCTCCTGGGAGAGGAGCGTGTGAGGGGCCCTGAGAGGCCGGGCAGGCCCGGCCTCGGGGCTCTGGGGTGGAGCGTCCACCTAGGAACCAGGAGGTTGAGGTTCGGTTCCCTACAGGGGCACATGCCTGGGTGTGGGCTGGATCCCCAATGTGGGGCGTGCAGGAGGCAGCTGATCCGTGATCCTCTCTCATCATGGATGTTTCTCTCTCTCCCTCTCCCTTCCTCTCTGGGCAGGGTGGGGCTGAGGGCCCGGGGGAGGCACCAGCTCAGGTGGGACGGGGACTGCTCAGCAGGCGGGGGCTGGAGGGGCCCTGGAGGGGTCCAGCAGCAGAGCCGGAGCAGGGCAGAGCGGGAGCCGGAGGCTGCACGAGCAGCGGGCAGGGCCGGGCAGCTCACTCCGCTCCTCCGTTCCAGGTTCCCGGCAGGGCCATGGACATGAACGTGCTGCTGGCTGCCCAGCTGCTGATGGAGCAGGTGGCCGCCGAGGGCAGCGGGCCCCTCCTGTACCCTCTCTACCACCACCTGCTCTTCCACTTCCACCTCTGGGCCCTCAGCGACTTCCCCGTGCGCCTCGGTAGGTGGGAGCCTGGGGGTCCCTGTGCCAAAGGGGCGTGCTGGCCCCGGGGTTTCTGAGGGGAACGCGACCCTCGCCTGGAGTGTCGGCTAGGAGGTGGGAAAGGGCCGGCTCGGCCCCGGGGCCTGAGCCCTCTGCGATGCCCGCCCAGGCCACGCCCACTACCTGGCCAGCGTGGTCCGCAGGCACCGACAGAAGCTGCAGAAGAAGTACGGGGTCCAGTTCGTCCTCGACGCCCTGCATGCCCACTACAGGTGAGGCCGGGGAGGGGCAGGCTGCCCGGGGCCGACCCCGCGGCCTCTGGCCTTGGGGGCCGGGGGGTCCAGGCCCCCAGCTCACTGCCCCCCTCCCTGCTCTCTCTCCTCTATGTCCCTGTTCCCCTGGCCCTGGGTGGTGGGGGGACCTCCCTGTGCAGCTCACAGCGGGAGTGCCCCCTGGCGGCCGACGAGCTGCGCACAGTGCAGACCTCCCTCCTGGAGCTGGTGCAGGAGCTCCTGGTGCGGGGTTCCCTGGCAGAGGACCTGCCGGTGGTGCTGAGCTTCCTGGCGGCTGCGGGGGACGCCGGCCTGGTAGGCTGGGGGCAGCTGGTGACAGGGCAGCGGAGGGGGGGCAGGCCACGTGGGGAGACCCTGCCCAGCATGAGCCTGTGTGCCCCCAGGTGCTGGGCACCCTGAACTTGCTGCTGGCCCTGCTGCACGGCTCGCCTGCCCAGGAGCTTGTGGCGGGCTTCCTGCTGGAGCCGGGAAACCTGGAGGTGCTGCTGGCGCTGCTGGTGCGACCGTGGCCCCTGCCTCAGCTGCCCGAGCGCATCTGCAAGGTACCCGTGCCCCCCCACGACCCCTGACCCCGGCATCCCGCCCTGGCCCTGCCTGAGGCCCAGGGAGCTCGTGGGACATCCCCCGCGGTGACTCCGCCCTGTGGTGCCGTCCGCCCTGCCCAGGTCCTGCGCAGGCTGCAGCGGAGCGAGCACCCGGCTGAGCACGGCCGGCAGCGGCTCCGGCTCCGAGAGGGCGGCCTCCAGGGGCTCGTCGCCTGCCTGCCCGAGGGCGCGGCCTCCCTCCAGCTCTGCCAGGGCCTCTACAAGCTGTTCCTGGGCACAGGTACCACCTGGCTGGGGTCAGAGGGCAGGCCCGGTGGAGGGGTGACATGGTTCCAGGAACAGGGCAGGTGGGCAGAGGGCGGGGGGGGGGGGAGGTGCAGGGCCATGGCTGAGCCAGCAGGGGAGGGTCAGGCTCAGGCTCAGGCTTTCAGGCCCCTCTGGCCCTCCTCCCAGACTGCCTGAGCCTCTCAGACCTGATGGCCGTGGTGCAGCTGTCCCTCCAGGCCGACCTCAGCGTCCGCCTGGACATCTGTCGCAAGGTGAGCGTGGGGGTGAAGCTTGGGGGCCGCTCTGAGGGCTCACCGGTCTGCGCAGCGAGGGGTCCCGGGGGCTCCCCGGAAAGGCTCGGGCCGGGGCGAGCCCTCACCCGGTGCCCTGCCCGCAGCTCTTCCACCTCCTCTACGGGCAGCCTGACGTGGTGCGGCTGCTGGCCCGGCAGGCCGGCTGGCAGGATGTGCTGACCCGGCTGTACGTGCTGGAGGCCGCCCCGGCCCGCAGCCCCCCGCCCTTCCCGCCCGAGCGGCCCGCCTCCCCGGAGCCCGCCCCACCCCGGCCGCCCTCCGAGTCCCCCGAGCCCTCGGACGTCTTCCTGCCCGCGGAGGGCCCCAGCCCCGGCCCCGACCCCGACCCCTTCTACCACGCCCTCTCCCCGTTCTCCCCGCCCTTGGACCTGGGCCTGGAGCGGTCCAGCGTGGACTCGGGCAACATCGCCGGCGGCGGCGGCAGCGGGACCCTCACCCCGGCCAGCCAGCCGGGCACACCGTCCCCGCTGGACGGCCCCCGGCCCTTCCCCCCGGCCCAGGGCCGCCACAGCTCCAGTCTCTCCAACGTGCTGGGGGACGGCAGCCTCCCGGAGCCCACCACCAGCGGGGACGACACCTCTAACACCAGCAACCCCCAGGTGAGGGGCCCTCGGCCGCCGGCTGCACTCGGGGACACCTCTCAGCACGAGCCAGGCAGTGGCCTTTCCACAGGGGTAGCCCTGCCTGACATCGGGGCTGCAGCTGCCAGTGGGGTTCCAGCACAGGGCAGGGCTTTGCAGGGTCCGTGGACAGCCCCCCAGTCCTGCCGGTGCTTCTAGGCCTCTGCTCGGCCTATGGCCCTTCCAGAGCGTTCAGTGCAGCTCTTTTCTTTCTTTCTTTCTCTTTCTTTCCTTTTCTTTTCTCTCTTTTTTAATGTATCTTTACTGGTTCAGACAAGGAGAGAGACAGAAACGTCAATGATGAGAGAGAATCACGGACCGGCTGCCTCCTGCACGCCCTGCACTGGGGATCGAGCCCACAACTAGGGCTGTGCCCTGACCAGGAATGGAACTATGACCTGCTGGTTCCTAGGTCGACGCTCAAGTCACTGAGCTGGGCTCCAGGGCAGTTCTTGAAGCTCATGAGGACTGAAATATAATTTGTGAACCACCCAGGCCTGTGGTCGGCAAACTGCGGCTCGAGAGCCACATGTGGCTCTTTGGCCCCTTGAGTGTGGCTCTTCCACAAAACACCACGGCCTGGGCGAGTCTATTTTGAAGAAGTGGCATTAGAAGAAGTTTAAGTTTTAAAAAAAATTTGGCTCTCCAAAGAAATTTCAATCGTTGTACTGCTGATGTTTGGCTGTTGCCTAATGAGTTTGCCGACCACTGGCCTAGGCCTGTCTCAGGGTCACTGAAACCCTGGATCCTCCTCGGCACCGTTCTTCCCGGCCTCAGAGCCAGGCCATCTATTGGTCCTACGAGAGGTGGGCAAGGGGTGCTGACTGGCACAGCAGGAGGTCAGCCTGACCCCCGGCCCCGCCCCTCTGGGCTCACAGCAGCCCCCCGAGGAGGAGCTGTGCAACCTGCTCACCAACATGCTGTTCCTGGTGACGTGGCGGGGCGTGGAGGACAGCGACGAGGCCGCCTGGCGGGAGCGTGGCCAGGTCTTCTCCGTGCTCACCCAGCTGGGGGCCTCGGCCACCCTGGTGCGCCCCCCGGACTGCATCAAGCGCAGGTGAGGGTGTCCCCGGGGGTGGGGCCTTCCGGAAGCCTGTGGAGAGGGAGGGCAGGCGGGGAGGACAGGCAGGCAGGAGGGCAGGCAGGGAGGGCAGGCAGGCAGGTAGAGGGCAGGGAGGGCAGGCAGGTGGGGAGGACAGGCAGAGGGCAGGGAGGGCAGGCAGGCGGCAGACACCGGAGCCCCTCACCCGCCCGTCCCCAGCCTCCTGGAGATGATGCTGGAGTCGGCCCTGAGCGACATCAAGGAGGCGGCGGCCACCAAGGCGGCCTCCGTGGAGAGCCTGGCCGGCCTCACCCGGCAGGTGCTCTGGCTGCTGCGCCTGCTGCAGGACTTCCTGCACTCCGAGGGCCATGGCAGCCAGGAGCTGTGGAGCGAGAAGGTGCGGGCGTGTGTGCAGTCCCGGGTGGGTCCACACGCCGTCTGAGCACGGACTTGTCTGTCCGTGTGATCCCCCCGCCCCCCTCACCTCGCTCCGTCCCTGTGTGGTGGCAGCTCTTTGAAGGCGTGTGCAACCTGCTGGACCGCCTGGGAGCCTGGTCCCACCTGGCCAACGGCCCGGGGGATCTCCGGGAGATGGCCCAGATCGGCTTGCACCTGGTGCTGGGCTACATCCTGCTGGAGGACCCGCAGGTGAGGGCTCGGGGTGCGGGCGGCACGGCCACGGGAGCTCTGGGGCTGGGGCACCCACACTGCCCTGTGCCCTCAGCTGCATGCCCAGGCCTACGTGAGGCTGCACTCGCTGCTGCAGACCGCGGTGCCCATGCGGCGAGAGGAAGCCTGCTACGTGCTCTCCAAGCTGGAGGCGGCGCTGGCGCGGGCCCTGAGCACCGCCCGCTGCGCGGCGGCCGCCGGGGAGCGCTGCTCCTGGCTGGTGCCGCTGGTGCGGACGCTGCTGGACCGCGCCTACGGGCCGCTGGGGCTGCAGTGGGGGCTGCCCTCCCTGCCGCCCACCAACGGCAGCCCCACCTTCTTCGAGGACTTCCAGGCCTTCTGCGCCACCCCCGAATGGCGCCACTTCATCGACAAGCAGGTGCCCAGGGGAGGGCGTGGGGGGGGCGGAGCCTGCCCCGAAGGCTGCCTCCTTCCCCTCAACCCCCTCAGCCCCCTCACCTCCCTAAACCCCTTAACCCCTCACTCCCCGTCACCCCCTCACCCTCCTCAATACCCCTCACCCCCTCACCCCCTCTTAACTCCGCTCACCCCCTCACCTCCCGCTCACCCCCCTCATCTCCCCCTCACCCCCCTCATAACCCCTCACCCTCCTCAATACCCCTCACCCCCCTCTTAACCCCGCTCACCCCCTCAACCCCCTCACCCCCCTCACCCCCCTCAATACCCCTGACCCACCTCAATACCCCTCACCCCTCACCCCCCTCTTAACTCCGCTCACCCCCTCAACCCCATCACCTCCCCCTCACCTCCCCCTCAACCCCCCTGACCCCCCTCACCTCCCTCAATACCCCTCACCCCCCTCACCCCGCCCCCCCCAGGTGCAGCCCACCATGTCCCAGTTCGAGATGGACACCTACGCCAAGAGCCACGACCTCATGTCTGGCTTCTGGAACTCCTGCTACGACACGCTCATGAGCAGCGGGCAGCGGCGCCAGCGGGAGCGCGCCCTCAGCAGGCAGGCTTTCCAGGTGCCAGCGGGCGGCCCAGAGCGGCGCCTCGGCCTCGCCCTCGCCCTCTCCCTCTCCCTCATCCTCTCCCTCACCCTCTCCCTCTCCCTCATCCTCTCCCTCACCCTCTCCCTCTCCCTCATCCTCTTCCTCGCCCTCGCCCTCGCCCTCGCCCCCTCCCTCACCCTCGCCCCTTCCCTCTCCCTCGCCCTCGCCCTCACCCTCGCCCTCTCCCCCTCCCTCGCCCTCTCCCTCTCCCTCGCCCTCACCCACTCCCACTCCCACTACCTCGCCCTCGCCCTCGCCCTCGCCCTCGCCCTCGCCCTCGCCCTCGCCCCTTCCCTCGCCCTCGCCCTCGCCCCCGCCCCCGCCCCCGCCCCCGCCCCCGCCCCCGCCCTCGCCGGGGCCTCCTGCCCGGGACGGGCGCCGGGCTCACACCGCCCCCGCCACCACAGGAGCTGGTGCTGGAGCCGGTGCAGCGGCGGGCGCGCCAGGAGGGGCTGCGCTTCGGGGCGGCGCTGAAGCAGCAGGCGGCGCAGCTCTCCACGGCGCTGCTGCACTGGGGCGCCCTCTGGCGGCGCCTCTGCAGCCCCTGCGGCGCCTGGGCCCTCAGGTGGGCGGGGCCTGGGCCGCCGGGGGCGGGGCCAGGGGCGGGGCATGAGCCCTCTGGTGGGCGGGGCTGTGGGCGGGGCACGGGCCCTCAGGTGGGCGGGGCTCGGACATGGGCGAGGCTATCACGGGGGCGGTTCTCTGAGGGATGGCACAGATTGGCCTGCATATCGTGTGGACGGGGCTCTAGGTGGGGGCGGGCCCTCGATGGGCGGGGCGGGCCCTCAGGTGGGTGGTGCTCGGGGCGGGTCCTCTGTGGGCGGGGAAGGGACGGGGATGGACGGGGATGGGCAGGGAGGAAGGGCCTGGAGAGCCTGGGTGCTGGGGGCAGCCTGGGAGGAACCACCTGTGCTGGGTGTCTCTGCAGGGACCCGCCCCCGCCCCGGTGGAAGATGTCCAGGGCCGAGACATACTCGCGCATGCGTCTGAAGCTGGTGCCCAACCATCACTTCAACGCCCACCTGGAGGCCAGCGCCCTCCGCGACAACCTAGGTGAGAGGGGAGCCAGCTGGGCCCGCCCGGCCTCCGCTGCCCGGGCCCTTCCGGCTGAACACCGCGGGCGCATTGCAGGCGAGGCCCCCCTGACGCCCACCGAGGAGGCCGCGCTGCCCCTGGCAGTGACCAAAGAGGCCAAGGTCAGCTCCGCGCCCGAGGAGCTGCCGGAGGACCAGCTGGGCGAGGACGAGCTGGCCTCCCTGGAGACCGCGTGAGTGGGGCTGGAGAGCGGAGGGCGCCAGGTCTGCTCCCGGCACATGCCCGCTGGGGCTTGACCCCGAGTCCATGCCCTCCGCCGCAGACGCCCGAATCCGTGGGGCTGGCGGGAGGTGCCGCACAGAATAGGTGTCGCTCTTCCACGGGAGTGGGCAGGGGCGCAGCGAGGGGAAGCTGGGCACACGTGTTGGTGTCCTGGCCAAACACTCAGAGACCCCGGGGCAGGACCTGGGCCGGCCTGGACCCTGAGCGGTCCTCCCTCCACTCTGACGAGGTGGCCCCGGGGCGTGCTCTTGGGCCCGCCGGGAAGGGAGTCCGGGGCGAGAGCCTGACGCGGGCGCCGCCCCGCAGGATGGAGGCGGCGGAGCTGGACGAGCAGCAGGAGAAGCTGGTGCTGTCGGCCGAGTGCCAGCTGGTCACGGTGGTGGCCGTGGTGCCGGGGCTGCTGGAGGTCACCACGCAGCACATCTACTTCTACGACGGCAGCGCCGAGCGCGCGGAGACCGAGGAGGGTGCGTCGGGGGGGCTGCGGGGAGGGAGGGCGGCTGGGGTGGCGGTCCGCTGGGGCCAGGCCGAGCGACCCCTGCACGCTCTCCGCCCGGCAGGCATCGGCCACGACCTCCGGCGGCCGCTGGCCCAGCTGCGCGAGGTCTACCTGCGGCGCTTCAACCTGCGCCGCTCGGCGCTGGAGCTCTTTTTCGTGGACCAGGCCAACTACTTCCTCAACTTCCCCAGTAGGCCGGGCGGCCCCCGGCCCCAGCCCGGCTCCGCGCCGCCCCACACCCAGCTGCGCAACCAGGTGTACAAGTGGCTGCTGCGCCTGCGGCCGCCCACCCACGGCTACCTGAGCAGCCGCTCCCCCCAGGAGATGCTGCGCGCCTCGGGCCTCACCCAGGTGGGGGCCGGTCGGCGAGGGGCGGGGTCGCCGGCCTGTGGGCGGAGGCATGCTGGACCTCTCCGCTGGCTCACGTCTTGCCCCCCTCCCCTCCTCCCCCCAGAAATGGGTCCAGCGGGAAATATCCAACTTCGAGTACCTGATGCAGCTCAACACCATTGCCGGGCGGACGTACAACGACTTGTCCCAGTACCCCGTGGTGAGCGCCCGCTCCCTACCCCACCGCCCCTCTGTCTGCCGGCCCGGCTCACCCAGAGGAGGCGCCGATGGGGGCCACCCTGAGCATGGTCCTAGGGTGGTGCTGCCTAGGCCCTGGCCTCTGTTCCTGCCACCAAACCCCCACCCCCAGCACACACACACACACCCAGCCCCTCTGGTCCCCTCCTGGCCAGCTCCCCCGGGGCCTCTCCATCTTCCTGAGGGCGAGGGCAGGGGAGCGGCAGGCAGGCCCTCGGGACCCTCACGCGGCTCCTGCCCGGCGGGCGGCCAGTTCCCCTGGGTCCTCCAGGACTACGTGTCCCCCACCCTGGACCTCAGCAACCCAGCCGTCTTCCGGGACCTGTCCAAGCCCATCGGTGTGGTGAACCCCAAGCATGCCCAGCTCGTGAGGGAGAAGTGAGCATGTGGGCCAGGCGGGGCTCGGGCGGGACGGGCTCCGGGAGGCTTCTGCCGACCCCCCCGCCACGTGACTCCAGGTACGAGAGCTTCGAGGACCCGGCGGGCACCATCGACAAGTTCCACTACGGCACCCACTACTCCAACGCCGCTGGCGTGATGCACTACCTCATCCGCATGGAGCCCTTCACCTCGCTGCACGTGCAGCTGCAGAGTGGCCGGTGCGGCCCGGGCGGCGGGCGCAGTGAGGGGAGGAGGCAGGTCGCCCCACCCCGTCTTCACCCCTGCCTCACTTTGGCCCGGGCCCTCCCCAGCTTCGACTGCTCCGACCGGCAGTTCCACTCGGTGGCGGCGGCCTGGCAGGCCCGGCTGGACAGCCTGGCCGACGTGAAGGAGCTGATCCCGGAATTCTTCTACTTCCCCGACTTCCTGGAGAACCAGAACGGTAGGCACTGGGGTGGGGCTGCCGACCGGGCCGGGCACGGGGAGCAGGTGTGGGGGGAAGGAGATGGAGGAGGAGATGGAGGGGGTGCAGGGTGGGGGGAAGGAGATGGGGAAGGAGATTGGGGGGGTAGGTATGGGGGGAAGGAGATGGAGGGGGGCATGGTGGGGGGAAGGAGATGGGGAAGGAGATGGAGGGGGGGCAGGGTGGGGGGAAGGAGATGGGGAAGGAGATGGAGGGGGGGCAGGGTGGGGGGAAGGAGATGGGGAAGGAGATGGGGGGGCAGGTGTGGGGGGAAGGAGATGGAGGGGGGCATGGTGGGGGGAAGGAGATGGGGAAGGAGATGGGGATTGGGGGCAGGTGTGGGGGGAAGGAGATGGGGAAGGAGATGGAGGGGGGCAGGTGTGGGGGAAGGAGATGGGGATTGGGGGCAGGTGTGGGGGGAAGGAGATGGGGAAGGAGATGGAGGGGGGCATGGTGGGGGGAAGGAGATGGGGAAGGAGATGGAGGGGGGCAGGTGTGGGGGAAGGAGATGGGGATTGGGGGCAGGTGTGGGGGGAGAGGAGATGGGGTGGGGGACAGGTGGGGGGAAGGAGACGCGGGCGGGGGAGGGGTGGAGACAGCTGACCAGTCCCCTGTCCCAGGCTTTGACCTGGGCTGCCTCCAGCTGACCAATGAGAAGGTGGGGGACGTGGTGCTGCCGCCCTGGGCCAGCTCCCCCGAGGACTTCATCCAGCAGCACCGCCAGGCCCTGGTGAGGACGGGAGCCCCCCAGCCGGGCAGCCGGGGCTGAGGCCAGGGTCGGGTTCGCTGTCTGTCCCAGGACTGACCGCCCCTCCCGCCTGCCCAGGAGTCGGAACACGTGTCCGCCCACTTACACGAATGGATCGACCTCATCTTTGGCTACAAGCAGCGGGGCCCAGCTGCCGAGGAGGCCCTCAACGTCTTCTATTACTGCACCTATGAGGGTGGGCATGCCCCAGGCGCCACGGAGCTGGGCCCCTGGAGGCTGGGCCCCTGGAGGCTGGGCCTGTGGAGGCTGGGCCCCTGGAGGCTGGGCTCCTGGAGGCTGGGCCTGTGGAGGCTGGGCACCACGGAGGCTGGGCCCCGTGGAGGCTGGGCCCCGTGGAGGCTGGGCGCAGAGGAGGCAGCGTAGGAGCCGGGAGCACAGAGGAGTCCTGACCCTTCCGTCTGCCCACCAGGGGCTGTGGACCTGGACCAGGTGACAGATGAGCGGGAACGGAAGGCGCTGGAGGGCATCATCAGCAACTTCGGGCAGACTCCCTGCCAGCTGCTCAGGGTGAGGCGGCGTGGAGCCCGGGGCAGGGGTGTCCGGGCCACGGAGCTAACCGGCCGCTTGCCCGCAGGAGCCGCACCCGGCCCGGCTCTCCGCGGAGGAGGCCGCCCAGCGCCTGGCCCGCCTGGACACCAGCTCGCCCAGCATCTTCCAGCACCTGGGCCAGCTCCGGGCCTTCTTTGCGGAGGTGAGAGGAGATGAGCTGAACCTGCTGCTTGCTTACCAGCGTTGGGGCAGACGGCAGGCCTACATCCATCAGGGCCACTGATTCCCAGGCCCCTGGGGAAGCCAGGGGCCGAGGGCGAGCAGCTGCCAGGAAAAGGCCCGGACAGCACCTCGGGGCCTCAGGGAGGGAGGGCACCTGCAAGAACACTCCCTCCTTCCTGTCGGCGTCCCAGATGGCCAAGGCCTGCCCCTCCTGCCCGCAGGCTGGGGGGGGGGGGGCAGGGAGTGACGGGTGGGTGGACCAAGCTGGAGGCCCTGTCCGTCCCAGCTTCTCACTCAGCTTCTGAGCTGCCCCCTGAAAACCCTCTGGTCTCACACGTTTCCCGGTGGGACCTGGGCCTCTGTGCCCCCAGCCAGGGGCCCCTGGGGCGGAGGGTAGAGGAGGCAGCGGTGCCCAGGGAGCAGCTGGTGCAGGTTGGCCTTGGACACAGCCCGCCTGCCCTCCACCCGCAGCTCATCAGCGACGGCGTGCCCCTGGTGCTGGCCGTGGTTCCGCACCGGCAGCTGCACTCCTCCATGACGCCTGACCTGCTGGTGAGTGCGCTGGGCAGGATGCCCCCCGCCCCGCCCCCCAAACCGGCCTCCGCCCCCCAAACTGGTTCCGCCCCCCAAACTGGCTCCGCCCCCAAACCGGCCTCCGCCCCCCGACCGCCCCCCCAAACCGGCTCCGCCCCCCGACCGCCCCCCAAACCGGCTCCGCCCCTCCCCCCCCCACCGCAGGTGACCGTGAGTGCCAACGGGCTGCTGGGCACCCACAGCTGGTCGCCCTACGACCGCAACATAAGCAACTACTTCAGGTTCATCAAAGACTCCACCAAGTGAGGGGGCTGCGCGGGGGCGGGGGTTCTCGAAGCAGAGCGCTGGCCGGCGCAGGGTCTGGCCAGGGGCCACAAGGGCCTCGGACCCCGGCCTCACCCTCCTTCCCTCCCTCGGCCAGGGGGCAGCGGCTGCTGAGCGGCCCCTGGGTCCCGGGCGGTGGCCTGAGCGGGCAGGCCCTGGCAGTGGCCCCGGACGGGAAGCTGCTGTTCAGTGGTGGCCACTGGGACGGCAGCCTCTGCGTGACCGCGCTGCCGCGGGGCAAGCTGCTGAGCCAGATCCACCGCCACCTGGGTACGAGCGCCCGGCGGCTGGGGCGGGGCGGGCGGCGGCGGTGTGCCCGGAGAGGCCTGACGGTCCGTTCTTCCGGGACTTCCCGCCCCGCAGACATAGTGACCTGCCTCGCACTGGACTCCTGCGGCCTCTACCTCATCTCGGGCTCCCGGGACACCACCTGCATGGTGTGGCAGCTCCTGCACCAGGTGTGCGGGTGGGCAGCGTGGGGGGCCCCGTAGTCAGACCTGCCGCCCACCCCCCCTCTCGTCCCCTTCCCTCCACAACCCACTAGCTCTCTGGCCTTACCGGGTCCCCTCACGCTGCTGAGCCTTAGCCTCCTTGTTCAGGGGCCGGGATCACGAGGTGCCCAGGCCTGAGACAGCCCTGGGCTCCTACAGGGTGGCGTTTCGGTGGGACTGGCACCGAAGCCCATACAGGTCCTCTACGGGCACGAAGCCGCGGTGAGCTGTGTGGCCATCAGCACGGAACTTGACATGGCCGTGTCCGGGTCGGAGGTCTGTGTGTGCCAGTGCCGGGGGGAGGGGGGTGCTGAGTTTGCTGGGTGCTGCCTCTGGAACCCCGAGCCCCTGCCAGGCACCCTAAGCTGCCTTCCCGCAGGACGGAGCTGTGATCATCCACACGGTGCGCCGTGGCCAGTTTGTGGCGGCACTGCGGCCCCCGGGGGCCATGCTGCCCGGACCCGTGTCCCACCTGGCGCTGGGGTCCGAGGGCCAGATCGTGGTGCAGAGCTCGGCGCGGGAACGTCTGGGGGCTCAGGTGCGGGAAGGGCACCCAGGCAGGACGGGGCGGTGGGGGTTCTGTGCTCGCTGACTCCTGCTTCTCCCAGGTCACCTACGCCCTGCACCTGTACTCGGTGAACGGGAGGCTGCGGGCCTCCCTGCCCCTGGGGGAGCAGCCCACTGCCCTGGCGGTGACGGAGGACTTCGTTCTGCTGGGCACGGCCCAGTGTGCCCTGCACATCCTCCACCTGAACAAGTGAGCCTGGCTGTGGGTTCATGTCCCTCGGGGGGGGGGGGATTGGCAGAGGAACCAGGAGGTGCCCCTGTGCACCCACACCCTCCTCTGCATGCTCATGGGCACGGCCTGCACGTCCTGCCCTGACTCCCCGCCCCCACTGGGGAGGCCCCGCCCTTGGCCTCCCTTAGCCTCACATCCTGGGAGATCTCTTCATTGGTCAGGGTTTCAACTTGGCCGTCCTGCAAACGGGGGCAAACGGCAATTAGGAGAATGAAGAGTCAGCTGGGTGCCAAGCCGCCTGCCATTTTCGAGTCCGGGTTTCCCTCCTTCCCTCCCTCCAGACTGCTTCCGGCTGCGCCTCCCCTGCCCATGAAGGTGCCCATCCGCAGCATGGCGGTGACCAAGGAGCGCAGCCACGTGCTGGTGGGTCTGGAGGACGGCAAGCTGATCGTGGTGGGCGCGGGGCAGCCCTCTAAGGTGAGGACCAGGCCGGCAGGGGAGCTGAGTGGGGCGGGGAGGGTGGTCGTGGCTGACCCACCCGCCCCCCCCCCCAGGTGCGCAGCGGCCAGTTCGCTCGGAAGCTCTGGCGGTCCTCCTCGCGGCGCATCTCGCAGGTGTCCTCGGGGGAGACGGAGTACAGGCCCGAGGAGGCGCGCTGACCGCCGTCCGGCCCGGCGCGGCCCCGCCCACCGGAGGTCCCGCCCCCGGCACGGGGCCCGCCTCGCTGAGGTCCCGCCCCCAGCGCGGCCCCGCCCAATCCGGAGGCCCCGTCCCCAGCACGGGGCCCGCCTCACCCGGAGGCCCCGCCCAGGAGTCAGCGGCGCTGTCAGCTGGCACTCGGGGTGGGCGGTTCCTCACCCCCACCCAGCTCAGGGATTGGCGGGCAGAGTCACTCCCGGAAGTCCCGCCCCTCGCCGGCAGAGGGGCATCCGGGGGCCGCACAGCACTTTCTGCAGAGTCTGGGTCGGGGTACCCAGCCCCCGAGCCCCGTTCCGGCAGCACAGGGACCGGCCGTGGCCTTAACCCCAAGGCGGCCCGGCCCGTTCTCGGCAATAAACGTCCTAGTTTTGTAGCTGCTCCGCCTCCTGTGTTTGCGCGCGCGGCCCAGCCCGCCTGGGTCCATGAGGTCTCGGGATCCCTCCGGGGCGGCTCGTCCTCCCCGTGGCCTCAGTTTCCCCGACCGGCCCCTGGGCCGTCCTCCCGGCTCGTGTTCGCACTCGGTCCTCCACGTGGCCGCCCGGCCGGCATCCGTGCGCCCCGCCTTCGGGCAGCGAAGGGTGGGCGCGTCTGCGCGGTCATTTTGGGGTGTCGAGAGGCCTCGGCCCCGCCCCAGCCCTGCCCTGCCCGCCCCTCCGCGCCCTTCGTCGCGCCGCCTGCCGTGGGCGGGCCAGTACCCGGCCTCCCCGGGACTCCACGCGGCCTCCTCGGCCCCTGGGAAGCTGAGGCTTCGGCACGCCAGGGTGAGCGGATCTGGGCCCATGGAGGGTTGGCCACCTCAGGTCAGGAGCGGGGCCCGAGCTGCCTCTGCACCCCCTGGGGACCCACCTGTGCGGGAAGCCAGGCGGGTGTGGGCCTGTTTTGTGGGTCCCGGGCCGGTGCATGGTGTGGGCGGTGGAGGCTCCAGTGCCGCAGCTCAGCTGGGTCAGGCAGACATGAGACCCAGTCACAGGCTCACCCACCAACCGGGATCAGCCAGCACCCCACAAAGGCCCCTGTGCGGTGGGTGACACACACACACCCGGACACGTGGCAGGGCCTGGGCCTCGGTCCCAGACCCACTTGCCAACTGCATTCGCCATAAGCCTGGGCGCCCAGCCTCGTGCCAGGCAGTGAGTGTGGCCCGGGGGGGGGGGGGGTCGGGGGCTCCCCCAGGCTCTTCATCTTTCCAGACAAGATCCTTCCTTAGACTGGGCCTCCGCCCCCCAGGCCTCGGGAGGTGTGTCCCAGCAGGATCAGCCCAGTAGGTCCAGATGGGTCCTGGGATTGAGGGGTCCTGTCCTTCAGGTTTCTGGCCTCTGGCCCATATGCCTATGACCTTGCTGGACCCACAGCACCCTGCTGTCCATCCTCAGCAGGAGGGGAGGGCGGGGCACACTGGAGGCTCCGGGAGGGCCCAGGGTGCCGGGTTCCTGGCCTCCGACCAGCCAGTGATGGGGCTGGGACAGGGTGGGCATCTCCCTGGTCCTTCCGTGCCATCCCTGGACTCTGGTTTGCCCACCTGCCTGCCTCCCTCCTGAGCTGCATCCTGCCTCCTCTCGGCCAGCTGGGGCCAGTTCTCTCACTCCACTCCACCCGACAGAGAAAACGGGTCCAGGTTGATGAGTGGGCGTGTGGGGGTCAGCCTGCTCTGGAGGGAATCAGGATGCAGTGGGCCAGGAGCGGGACCCCTGGCATCAGGCCTGTGGTATCAGCCCCCCCCCCCCCACATGTCCCTACACACACACCCCGGCTCCGTGCCCGGGCCCTGCCCCTCACACGCCACCCCCTTCTCCACGAAGAGACACAGCCTCGGGAGCGCCGGCCGGAAGAGCGATGCCGCACAACGCCAGCCACCAGAACAGCACGGTCCGTGGCGGTAAGCACCTCCTGGCCACTCTGGGCGCTGGGCAGGTCGGAAGGTAGTCCAGGTGGCAAGTCACACAAGTTCTGTCACGGGCTCTGGAGAGCTTGTCCGCGGGGCCCTGCTGCACGGGCTGCGGCAGCAGTTGGCCTCCGGGCAGAAGGAAGCAGCAGCATTTGCTTGCCTTCCAGTGCAGCTTCACGTTGCAAAAATGTGCAAGGTCTCCTGTGCACGGAGGCCCCATGGAGACTGCCACGATTCAAGGTGCTCTCACCATCTGGACTCCTCTGGGGAAGACAGGATATGAAGTCCAGTCCACAGTAGTCAGAAGAGGTGCAATCAGAGGCAGGAAAGGGGAAAGCCAGGAGCCATCAGCAAGTGCAGGCGCCTGGGAGGTTCCGGAGCAGGAAGGGCAGCTGGGGAGGGCGGTGAGAACGGGAGGCTACGGGAGAGGAGCATGGGAAGCGGCCAGTCCGCTCTGGATGCGGTGCTGTGAGCTTTTGTAATTTCAGTTTTACCTGAGCATTCTGGTCTAGGTTCTTAAGTTGCATTTTTTTGAAAGTGTATTTTTATTGATTTCAGAGAGAGAGAAACATCAATGATGAGAGAGAATCATGGATCAGCTGCCTCTTGCACACCCTCTCCCCGAGGATCATGCCCACAGCCCCTGACTGGGAATTGAACCAGGACCTCCTGGTTCATAGGTTGACACTCAACCACTGAGCCACACTGGCCAGGCATGTATGAGCTTTTGACTATAGAGTACGGACTATTGTTTCAAATCTTTTGGAGCCAAGTCTAGGAGAGACTGCCCAGGGACCCCAGCTGGATTCCTTGCCTCTGACCTTGTCCTTCCTTCCTTCCTTCCACAGATCAGAACTGGAAGGAGCAGGACAGGGACAGGGAGGGAGAGTGGGTAGGCGAAGAGAGCGGCCCTGCCTGCAGTACCTCCTCCCCATTCCCACCTGAGCCTCCAGGGCCCGCAGGCAGCAGCACCCCTGTCTACTGTGCCCTCCTGGCCACCGTGGTCCTCGGTCTGCTTGCCTACGTGGCCTTCAAGTGGTAGGTGGCCTGGGTACTGCCCTGTGGGACCCCTTCCCATCCGGACTCCCAGCCAGCTCCCCGTCTCAGTGAGGGTCGGAGCAGGCTGGCAGGCTCCTCCTTCTCCCCACAGCTGGCGCTCCCATCAGCAGAGACGGCAGCTGGCCAAAGCGCGGGCTGCAGAGCCAGGCGGCCTCGACGGGGCCCCGCAACACGGGGAGCGCGGGGTCTCCCCGGACTCTCCTGATGGCCCGGCGCCCCGTGCCCCCAGCCAGGGTGAGTCCCTTTCCTGGGGAGCAGGGCCCTCGCTCTGCCCGCCGCCAGCCCCTGAGGCTCCTGTCTCCCACCCCAGGGCCACAGCCAGAGCCCGGCCGCCGGCTTTACCTCCATCTCCCTCGGCAGCAGCGGGAGGAAGTGGAGCGGCTCCTGGGAGGGCCAGGCGACCCCGACAAGGGCTGGCAGGGCCTGGCAGGCCGCCTGGGCTACCAGACCGAGGCTGTGGAGACCATGGCCCAGGGCCGGGGGCCTGCCTGTGCCCTGCTGAGGGACTGGGCTGTCCAGGGAGGCAGCGGCGCTACCCTCAGCGTGCTGGAGGAGGCCCTGGCCGCCATGGGCCGTGAAGACGTGGTCCAGGTGCTGGGCCTCCCGCCTGGGGGCTGCTCTGTGGTGTGAGCCAGGCCCCCCGAGCCAGGCCTCTCGGGGTGTAGCCCTGTGCTCCCCACCACGCCCTCTCCCATGCTTTCCCCCTGCCATGGGATTCCTGGCCTGGGCTCCATTCTGGAGGGACTCAGAAGGTGCAGCCACCACCCTCCTCCCCAGCCCCACGTTCCTCTGAGACAGAGACGTGGCTACGGGACATGGGCAGGAAGGAGTGGGCCTGCCCTCCTGCTCCCTGTCCGCCCCCCTTCCTGGCCTTAACCGTTTTCCTGCTTTTGTATCACAGTAAAGGCAGCTCTGGTTACTGTGCAGGCTGTCTGGCTCCGGGCCTGTGAGACAGTGGGTGGCAGGAGGCTGGGGTCCTGAGAAAGGACGGGTCCTGAGTGGCAGGAGGAACCCGGGCTGCAGGCCGTGTGTCCCGTGCAGGAGGCAGAGCTGTGGGCTCAGCGCAGAGTTCGCCTCCGGCACCTGCTGCAAACTCCACCCTCAGGCGAACTCTGGGCTCTGGCAGCGTCGGACACGCATGTGACTAGCTCCGAGGGAACACACACCACCTTCTTTAATTAATTTTATTTTTTACATAAAAAGTTCAGTAAAAATTGGATAAAGTAAAGTGATTTTAAGCAGTAAATCAATCTTATCAACATAGCACGAGGCTGGCCGAACCGCAGGCGGCCTGCTTTGGAGTATTTACATGATAACAAATTAAACCTTGCAGGAGCACTTCAACCGTCCTTACAAAGTCTTCTGTGATCCTAGCATGGAAAGGCTAAAAGCAAAACAACAAACAAAACCAGGAAAACAACAGATTATTTCCAATATGTTCACATATACATTAAAATATAGTACAGGTCGTCGGGGAGAGGGTGTGGTGGAAGCGCATGGTCTGTGCGCCGACAGCACCGCCAAGGAGGAGACCCGGGGCACGGGCCCGGCCGGGCCAGGGTCCGAGGGAAGCGTCTCCCGGGGCCCCGGCCTCCAATGGCCTTGAACCTCCCACAGCTCACGACAGGGACCGCCTGCGGGAGGCAGGCTCGCTGGCTCTCCGGCTCTGCAGCGGCCGGTGAGGCATCAGCAGCTGTGATGGCCGCGGCTCCGCCCGCCCGGCCGTCACTCCAGCTCCGTGTCCTCTTTGGGCTTGTACACGGCCCCGAACTTCTGCATGTACTTCTTGATGTACTCCTTGGTCTTGTGCTTCACGTTCTCGTTGCACTCCAGGTCCTCCGGGTTCTTGCAGTACTTCAGCTCCTTGTTCATGACGCCGTGAGTCAGCTGTCAGGACGCAGAGAACAGGCCGCCCGTCAGAGGGGACACCACTCGAGCGGGAAGGCCAGCCTCGGCCTCAGGCCCTCTAACCAAGACCGGAGTCGGACAGGAGGAAGTGTGTGCGCGAGGAGGGGGTGGGGCAGGCTGGTGCTGGGGCCACAAGAGGAGCAGCTCGGCTCTGGACATTTCTTAGAGTCGGTACACCCAGGGGGGGCCCTTCCTTCTCAAACTTCCCTCCATCCCTGGTCCAGCCGGGAGTCAGGCCAGGAAGCCCCTCCCATGGGGCCATCTGGAAGGCAGCACCCGGGCGGCGGCGGAGTTACCTTCCGAGCGAGGTGCTTGAAGTCCTCCGTGGTGGTGATCCGCCCCCCTCTGCAGTCCGGCTTCCGGTAGGGGTTCAGGCACTGGACGATGAACTGGGACATCTGCGGGCAGAGAGCTCTGCTCACGCCCCCGCAGGCAGGAAGCAGGGGCCCTCCCACCTCCGCGCGGCTGGTTCGGACAGGGGCGAGCATGCTGGGGGGGGGGGGGGGGGGAGGGTTCAGACAGAGGGGAGCTCCCTGTGGACTGAGTGGGCCTGGCCGGAGGCCGGCAGCTGGGACTGGAGAAAGCAGGTCCTGCCTGTCCGAGCTGCACTGGGACCAGGCCCCGGCTCAGAGCGCGCACCCCGTGCTGCCAGGGGGCTCAGCGACCCCGGAGACGCAGGCACCTCCTCACTGAAGGCCCTCAGATCAGGGCCACGTTTCTCTGCATTCACACCGCACCGGGGTGAGGGGGGGTGGGGCGGGGTGAGGGGGGTCATAGTGCAGCGGGATGAGGAGGGGTGAGAGGGTCACAGTGCAGCGGGGTGAGGAGGGGTGAGAGGGTCACAGTGCAGCGGGGTGAGGAGGGGTGAGAGGGTCACAGTGCAGCGGGGTGAGGAGGGGTGAGAGGGTCACAGTGCAGCAGGGTGAGGAGGGGTGGGGCGGGGTGAGAGAGGTGAGGGGGGTCACACTGCAGCGGGGTGAGGAGGAGTGAGGGGGGTCACACTGCAGCGGGGTGGGGTGAGGCGAGGGGGCGAGCTGGGCATGCTCAGGACTGAGTGAGCAAGCCCCACCGAGCCCACCTCCTTCCGGAACACTTCCTTGCTCTTCTTAGCCAGCTCGCTGGAGGTGTCTGCCTCTGCTGTCTTGGGCTTCTTTGAGGCCTGGAACAGAGAAAGCACAGTGCGGGCGAGCGGTCAGACCGATCCTCCTGCCTGAAGGGCTAATATCCCAGAGCGGACGGAGAGCAGCTGAGCAGCAGTGAAGGCTCGTCTCTGCTCTTCCACGTCCGAGCCGCCCCACCCCCACTCCAGCACTGACACGTGGAATTCTCCAGAACAAGCAGGAGAACAGAACCCGAGCAGGACAAGGCAGGCTCCCCAGCGACAGGACACAGGCGCACGCCGCAAGCACCTTCATGGGGTTCTCGTCGTACGTCGGGGTTCCCAGGTCCATCTCGGCTTCGTGCTCCAGGCTGGCCTCGTCTCCCGGGCTGTCCCACGTGGGCGGGTCCCACTGAGTCTGCCTGGAAGGGAGGGAGAGGCCGCTGTCCGCAGGCAGACTTCTGCCGCACCCCTGCGCCACACCTCCCAGACCGTCAGCAGCACTGAAGCCACGTGACGCCGTCCGTTTCCAGCTGATTGTGGAACAGGCTTACCTGTGACCAACGAACTTTTTAAAAGGCTCAGCCCTAGTCGGTGTTGCTCAGTGGATAGAGCGCACTGGCCTGGACCGAAGGGTCCTGGGTTTGATTCCGGTCAAGGGCACCTACCTTGGTTGCAGGGTCCTCCCCAGCGTGGGCCCTGGTCGGGGCTCATGCAGGAGGCAACCAACTGATGTGTTTCTTTCACACCGATGTTTCTCTCTGTCTCTCCCTCTCTTGTCCACTCTCCCTAAAAATCAGTGGGAAAATATCCTGGGGTGAGAATTAACCAAAAGTAAAAAAACGGGCTCAAGGCCAGCTGCTGTGACTCAGTGATTGAGCATCAACCTATGAACCAGGAGGCCATGGTTCAATTCCCCATCAGGGCACATGCCCAGGTTGCAGGCTCCATCCCTGGTGTGGGGCATGCAGGAGGCAGCTGACCAATGGTTCTCTTTCATCATTGATGTTTCTCTCCCTGCTATTCCCTTCCTCTCTGAAATCAATAGAAATATATTTTAAAAAGAAATAAAAAATAAAAATAAAAATTGGGCTCAAGATTTCTCCTGTACTTAAATAACCACCGGCAGCTGTGGCTTTATTATGGAAAGTGAACACAGAGAGAAGTATGAAGCTCAGAGGCTAGCTAAGAAAAACTTAGGAAAATCTTGGAAAAAGCATCTGTAAATAAGAAATACAAGATTTTTTAAAAGTGATAGTATATTAAAAAAGTTTGCTTTGATATCAAAAAACAAAGTTCTGATAAAACCTGCAAACAATGGTTTTCAAAATCACTATTTTCAGTTAGTATAATGAGGGCTTCTCTTATAGAGGCATTTTACAGGAAAAAAGGCCTTTCTAAGGAAACATAAAGGGAAAATATTTATATGAAAATTTTAAACTTCCTTATGTCACAAGATACTACAAACAAAAACATACTTACAACACCTTTG